ATTTTTAAAAGCTCTCCAGATGGTTTTGTTGCAGCCAGCCCAATGCTGGTTTACAGATTTCATTTGCCGTGCTGTCTCGGACCAAGATGGTCCTCACAGATCAGGGAGAAAGCTCTGGGGTCAGCATGGGAAAACGTCCCCAAACTACACAAATTTTGATAAACTACTCTTTTTCTATGAAGTACCAGCAGCAAAAGCAAGCACTTCTTTAGCTCCCTTTTTATGTCCATTTGTTTTGTAAAACAAAAGAGAAAACCTCTGAGCATTATCAGGATATAGTTCTGGAGAAGGGCACATCTTTCTGTGAGGCCCTGTAAACATTTATCCCCAGACATGTAGATGGAACCTCAGGTCAGTCTGTTTCCAGGAGTTTCCTCTCCACAGAATCAGACCAAGAGTCTTCATGAGTCCAGAGTCAATGTGTGAATAGTCTCCCAGATGTGGACTTCAGTAAGAAATTCAGGCCCAGATACTGTTGGGTTCACGTATGCCTTCCCTTCTCCTCCACCTTCCAGATCACATTTTCAGGACCTGGCACAAAACTACGCTAGAAAGAATTCTGGAAAAGCTGATGCAAATTTCTATTCTGATATATAGTTGAGAATGCAAAATGAATTTGGTTGATGTTGAATTGAAAGTAAATGGTACAGCACATGGGTGCAGAATGTTGTTATGTACTCTTTTAAAAAAACAGTGTAAGGTCAATTAGAACCTGGAGAAGAAATAGTTTACATTTTGGGTCACACAAGAAGACTTGTACCTTGAGGGAAGATATTTCTTAAGTTTGGATTTGTATTGGCTTTATTAATGCATAATTTTCATAAAAATAAACTGCACTCATTTAAAGTGGAGAATTTTATTAGATTGGACATATGTATATACTTGTGAAGCATCACCACAATCAAGATGGGGAACATGGGCATCACCCCAAAAGTTTCATCGTGTGTCTTTGTAATTCTTCTCTTAACCCTCTCCTCACCTTCCACTCCATTTCCAGGCAACACTTCTGTCATAAATTAGTTTGCATAGTTTATAATTTTATATAAATGGAACCATATGTACTTTTTTGTCTGGTTTCTTTCACTCTGCATAATTATTTTGAGATTCCTCTATGGTATCAGAAGTGTCAATGGTTCATTCCTTTTTGTTGCTGAGTAGTATTCCATTATATAGATATAAACAATTTGTTCATCTATTCACCTGTTGATGTACATTTCAGTTAGTCCAGTTTGGGGTTGTTACCAGTGAGGCTGCTATGACCATTTGTGTACAAGATTTTTTACAGACGTGTAGTTTCATTTCTCTTGGGTCAGTACCTGGGAGAGGAATGGTTTGATCATATGATAGGTACATATTTGACTTTGTTAAACTTACTTATTCATTCTACTAGCTTTTTTGTTTGGTAGATTCTCTTGGATTTTCTACTCAGACAGTTATGCACTGTGAATAAAGATAGTTTCACTTCTTTTCCAAACTGTATGTCTTCTGTTTCCTTCTCTTGCTTTATTGCACTGGCTACAATCTCTAGTAAAGTATTAAATAGAAGTGATGAGAGCCAAAATTCCTCTGTTTTTCTGATCTTAGGGGGAAAACACTGTATTTCACCATCAAGTATGACATTTGACGCAGGTTTTTTATAGAGGTCCATTATTAAGTTAAGGAAATTCCCTTCAATGTCTAATTCACTGGGAGTTTTTAATCAGGAGTGGATACTAGATTTGTCAAATGCTTTTTCTGTACCTACTGAGGTTACTCTCATTCATTGTTCATTGGCTACTTGTCAATCTTTTTGGATACATTATTGATAAATTCTCACACTAAAGTATTATTGAGGATATCACTCTCTTGTTTTACAAATAATGAAACAAAGCTCACAGTGTTTAGAAAGTTCATGGCATAGCTAATAGTTTTGAACACAGATCTCTCTGATAGTGAAAACCTGTTCCCTGGTTTTTCCACTATTAATTATTTTCAGAGCAAATTTGACAGAAAGACTAGAGGGTAGCAAAATTACTTCTCGAGACTTTGAAATACTGTGGGATATTGTGTTAGCAGATTCTTTTTTTATGCAAATGGAACTAACATAAATAAGTAATTGAAGCTTTACATCTTTCACCAAAAGAGAAAAGCAAACAATATACAGGATACGCAAACCAGCTGACCACCAGGTAGTGGCATCAGCGTTCCTTTCAGACCAATTGTTACATACCCGACTTGAGCAATGCACTGTAGCAAAAGTGACAAACTCTTCTCAGCTTTGATGAACCAGCAGAGTACTGGAGCTTCACTCATGGCCAGTGATCACTCTCTCTCTCTGTTCCTTTTAACTTACTTGTGATAAAGGAGTCTGGGGGATAGTTGTTCAAATTAACCAGTATAAGTGGTTCTCAACAATTTAAAAACAGAATTTCCATGCGACTCAGCATTTCTATTGCTGAGAATATACTCAAAAAAATGGAAAGATTTTGGGTGTACACCCAAAATTTTGAGATATTTATATATCCATGTTTCTATCAAAAGTTGGAAACCATCCAGGTGTCCATCCACAGATGAATGGATAAACAAAATGTGGTATGCATACACTGGTATATTATTCAACTTTAAAAAGGAAAGAAATTCTTTTGGTTTATCATGGTCATAATAGCTTATAATATAGTGAGAATTCAGTTGTACATTATTGTTTGTCATACATCATATAAGTATGCCCCTTCACCTCTTGTGCCCATCTTCCACTCCCCTTCCCCCAGTAACCACTAATTTATTCTTTTTGTCCATAAGTTTGTTTATATTCCGCATATGAGTGAAATCATATGGTGTTTATCTTTCTCTGTCTGGCTTATTTCGCTTACATCATGCCCTCAGGGTTCATCCATGTAGTTGCAAATGGGACGATTTTGTCTTATTTTATGGCTGAGTAGTATTTCATTGTGTGTATATATATGTGTATATATATATTTATATACACCACATCTTCTTAATCCAATCACTAGTTCATGGGGCACTTGGGTTTCTCCCACATCTTGGCTGTCGTGAATAATGCTGCAGTGAACATAGGGGTGCATAAGTCTCTTTGCGCTATTGATTTCAAGTTCTTTGGGTAAATACCCAGTAGTGAGATAGCTGGGTCATATGGGATTTCTAGTTTTCATTTTTTGAGGAATCTCCCTACTGTTTTCCACAGTGGCTGCACCAGTTTGCATTCCCACCAGGAGTAGATGAGGATTTCTTTAAAAAGGAAAGAAATTCTGGGGGCCAGCCCGGTACCTCAGCAGTTAAGCTAGCACATTCTGCTTCGGCAGCCTGGGGTTCGCTGGTTCGGATCCTGGGTGCGGACATGGCACAGCTTGGCAAGCCATAATGTGGTAGGTGTCCCACATATAAAGTGGAGGAAGATGGACATGGATGTTAGCTCAGGGCCAGGCTTCTTCAGCAAAAAGAGGAGGATTAGTGGGAGATGTTAGCTCAGGGCTAATCTTCCTCAAAAAAGAAAAAAAACGGAGGAAATTCTGACACATGATACAACATGGATGAACTCTGAGGACACGATGCTAAATGAAATAAGTCACAAAGTGACCAATATTGCATGATTCCACTTATACAAGGTATCTAAAATAGTCAAACTCATAGAAAGAGAAAGTAGAACGGTAGCTGCCAGGGGCTAGAGGGACAGAAGAACGGGGAGCTACAGTTTTTCATTTTTCATTTTGTTTTGTTCGTTTTTGCTGAGGAAGATTCTCCTTGAGCTAACATCTGTAGCCAATCTCCCTCTATTTTATATGTAAGCTACCATCCCAGCATGGCCACTGAGAGATGAGTGTGTAGGTCTGCACCTGGGAACTGAACCCGGGCTGCCAAAGCAGAGCTAAACTTAACCACCAGGTCACTGGGGCTGGCCAGGAAGTTATTGTTTAGTAAGCACAAATTTTCAGTTTTCAAGATGAAGAGTTCTAGACATGGATGGTGGTGCTGGTTGAACAATGTAAGTGTACTTAATACTGCTGGATTGTACACTTAAAATTGTTAAAATGGTAAAATTTAAAAAAGAATTGCAAAGACACTCCTTTTAAGATTTCTTCTCCACATATCTGCTTTCCAAATGCAAATGTAAGGCAAAGTTAAAATACAAGATCACTTATCACTTATCCATTCCCATTCAGATTTTAAGGCACTGAGAAAATGGGTTAGAGGTAGAAGGAAGAAATTGTAGAGAATGAATATTTTGGATTGTGGAACACTGATTGAACAAAGAGGGCCAGGAAGTGTGCAAAATGAGCCACATGACGGCAAACCTGCTTTTGGAGGAGTGGGGAAGGGAAGGGCAAGATCGGAGAAAGATAACTGATATTCTGCTCCTTCACAGTGTTCCTCTAAGAACCACTAATTCTTGATCATTTTGTGGGTGAGCCTGGTGGGAGACATGTAAAGCTACATCACGGAAATTGAGCTTTTCCGTGCCTAAGGATTTAATCAGCACGAAGTTTGTCACATAGTAAGCCCCTTAGAAAGTAAACAAGAGTGCCATTAACTCAGCTAACAAACCTAAATTAAACTAATCTGCTAAATGACATAAAACAGCATGGTATACAAAAACAGGAAAGCCACAGACAGATTCCAGTCTTTCTTACTCAAAACAATACCTGTTATATAATATATACTCAATAAATATTAATTGAACAAATTGATCTGACAATCCACAATTCACAAATATTTTTGCTCATTTTTGAGTCAGATACTTCTGAATTTCCTTCGTCAATTCGTCTAGCTCAATCTAATCACCAAATGGCAGCTTGTTTATTGTGGCTGTTGTTTGTCTTCAATAAACAATTTCAAGCCAGCGATTCAGGGATAAGGATATATTTGATTAATGACAACTCTGGACATAGTCTATGAACCTAGAAAGGTGTTTTCTTAGAGTGAGTGTTTTCCCCCAACTCTACACCTGTGCTGCCACAACCCTAGCCATTTCAAGTCTGTGATGGCAATTCCCTGCCTTGGTCCTACAGCAGGTGCATGTATCAAGCAGAGCCCTGGGGTTTTTGCACACCTCCCTCCAGCACATTTCTCACTGTGGGCTCACTCAGTGCACAGAAATACACTGCTGAGTCCTCCAGTTGTGCAGCTGAGATGACAAGGTTGATGGATTTGTTTGCCTTCTGAAAATTCAGTAAGTAGCGACCTTCTGCGGCGTTTTGCTGGTTATAAGAATCCTGACGAATAAGAAACATCATTGCTCCACTGCTGGACTGCTTGTACCAGAATAGACTATAAGTTGGGTCACTGGTGTCATAGCTGCAGTGCAGGGTCACAACCTCCTTCTCCTGCACTAACAGTGCTGGTTTGGCTTGAGTTACTTTCTGGGAAATACTGGATCCTGAAGGAAAAAAGAGAGAGTCAGAAGGTTTAGGATAAATGGTGTGAGACATAGGAGTTCTATTTTACACCCTGCTCCCCCTCCTTCCCAGGCTACCCACAAGACACTGCCTGTACCCCTGGTCCTTAGGTGATAGAGGAGGCACATTCCCACTGGAGCCATCCCTACCTAGCCACATTGAAGCCACGACCACTTTCAGAAGACTGGAGAACATCTTTGAGTTCTTCTACTAGTCAGAAAATATCTTGCTCTTTCTCACTTCAGAGCTCTGCACTGTGAGGCAAGGCTGACAGAGTGGAAAATAATCACTGGTTATGTGTTGCTGCTGCCCCAGAACAGGAAACGAGGGTTTCCTAGTGTAGTAAGGCAGTGTGGGTCACGTCAAACTTCATGCACTGGCTGACAGTCTCACTTAACCCAAACTTCCTTTTGAATTAACCAGCTCTTATTTTGAAAACAATTACATCTGAAAATAAACATGGGTAAAATTTTATATTGAAAGGAAGATTGATGATTCAATCAACTGCTGTGTTCAGTCACTGTGTCTGTGATGGAACTGGGTGGGTGGCACTTAATTAAAAATACTGTGTGCAATGGATTATGGAAACAACGTAAGACATAATAATCATATATTCTCACGTCTACGTAAGCTCTTGTTTCGCCTGAGGTAGTAATACATCACTTTACGATAAGAAGGCAAGGCTGTTTGCACTAATCGCTGTAGCTCTTTCGATCTACCTATTGCTATAGCAATAGTCCTCCTCACCATCAATGTCTGTGCAGCTCCTATCATGGGCCAAAAACAGAAAAATCTGATTACTCTGTGCTGAAGAGTTTAGACTGAAGCCCTTCAGACACTGAGTCCTGTCATAAAGGTCTCCTTGTCTTTCTATTTAGTTTCGACAGCCCAACTCTAGTCATAGAGGCCAGAATAGACACCAAAATTTCATCATTCGGTTATCCAAACTTCGATTTATATTTTTCCCATTACCTCAGTTGGGACCCTAACTGAACCACAGTGAGCTTCTATATTCTGGATGCCTAGCTGTGAAGAGAATATATCCCAGGTGACCCCATAAACCTCCATAGGACAGCTGATCATAGGATCACTGATTGTAATAAAACTTTCTCTTTGTATGTGTATAAAAAATAAGACCATGCCTAGGGATATTACTCAAGAACATGGCAAAAACAAAAATCCATTGCGTGCCATTGCCTATTTCTTGATACGGTAGCCAGAGTTTATCATCCTCATCTCAAAATAATTGCAGTTTCAGCTAAATTGGTTGAAGGATCTTCAGATCTTACACTGGAATTTCCATTAAATCTGATTGTACCATATACTGTACAAACTGTTCTGCTAAGTTATAGATTATAATTCTCTAAAAACACCCAACATTTTTCTACCAGTTGGCTGAGTAAATACAAAATACTATTCATTTCTTTTCATATTATTCAACCCTAATACATTTCTCAATCAAGGAAACCTCATGATTGTACTTCTGTCTTTCAAGAAGTATCCATGTCCATAACAAGTCTTTTGGACACTCCCATATGAAAATCTGCACTAATAAGTTTTTTAATAATCTTATCTTAAAAATTGAAAGAGTCAATACCACACTGGTTATGCAATAATACTCCAGGCTCCTTTATAAAACCCAATCCCTTAGCAGAAGCAAAATTAATTCAAGTGGCTGAACTTGTGGATCTCTCTTGGGCATGTCAATTTACAAAAAGTTATATTCTGTGTTAGTCAATATGTTTTTAATGTAGTTCACAGCTTCCAAAACTGTGGAGACAATGAGTTTTCTTAACCATCTAACCTTTTCTTAACCCTCTCAGGTATCTCATGTGTCCCTATGAAAAGTGGACACAAAATACATGAATTGTTTAATGTCTTCATGCTACTCAAAGAAATTTGTGTCACAAAGACAAATATAACATATAAAAGACACTGTAGAAACTAGGAAAAAAATGCTTGAGCACATCATCATGCTAAACGTGACTTCCGAATAAAGTCCTTATGTAAGCTTCTCTTTGAGAACATAAAAACAAATCCATTGAAAAGTTCAATAACTCCATCTTAGATGCAGAAAATTTAGCCCCCAATTTTGTAAAGAATTACTAGAAATGATTGATTTGTTTGATTCATGAAGACAAGACATATCAAAGCCAGGACAGGTGTCTAGTGGAGCCAAGTGATCTCCGATGAATATTTGCTAAAATCCTGCAGTGACACTGCATCACAGCAGGGACATATTGACTGCAATATAAACAAACACTGCTGGGGAAACTTTTCTAGTATAGCAGAGAATGGGGCCAGTTCATGCCTTTCTTGGAACCAGCAAACATCCCATAAAACTGTAAAGGTGGGCTGTGAACTGTAATACTGTCCCAAGGAAACACTTGAGTATCTCCAAAAGGATCTTACACAATGGCATTCCTTCCATGAGTCATGTATGTACTAGAATAGTATTTTATTTACTACATGGATTGGCATACATTTCTCTCAGAAAACCACAGCACTCACAAAAGTTACAAATCAACTTGATTTTGTGTTTACTACCTGTGCCATTTCAACTTATCTCTATATAGGGGAGCAAATTTCTCTGGGACAGTTATGTCGTCTTGCCCTCACTCAGAAACTTTTCTTTTCCTGTCACCCCTCTATCCTCTGAAAAAGTAGAGAGAAAAAATAGAATATTAATACTTAAATTAGTTATTGTATCAGACCCCCTGGAACTCCAGTGGCCTGATGCGTTATCAGCCTTAGCTCTCATAGCCCTGCAATCCTCCCCTCCCAAAGTCGTATGTTGTCTCACTATGAACTGATCATTGATAGGCCATGTAATTCAGAATGTCCCAAATGATATTTATTCCAACCTTTTATACACCAAACTGGATAGATAAACCTATGATATTTAGTTCCTTCATCACAAGCACAGGTTGATTTCCTAGCCTTTCATTTAATCAGCCTTTACATGACCTTAATATGGATGCCGTGGTACTCTGAAAAAATCCCAGAGAAAGACTGCTATTGAGGTTGTGGAACCAAACTTATTAGGTACTATTTACTACCAGTTGAGCAGATAAAGTACAAGATATTGATCTTTGATTACCTGGTTACCAACTATATAACATTATTTTTTTTTTTTTAAAGCTTGGCACCTGAGCTAACAACCGTTGCCAATCTTTTTTTTTTTCTGCTTTATCTCCCCAAATCCCCCCTGGTACATAGTTGTATATCTTAGTTGCAGGTCCTTCTAGTTGTGGCATGTGGGATGCTGCCTCAACATGGGCTGAAGAGTAGTATCATGTCCGTGCCCAGGATCCGAACCCTGGGCCACCACAGTGGAGCGCGCGAACTTAACCACTCGGCCACGGGGCCAGCCCCAACATTATTCATTCTTAATTGTCAAGAATTAAAAAGTTACTTACATTAGAGATCTTAAACTGAGGCTCTCCAGAGAATCGTCAGAAGCAGACGGTTCACAGAAGGTGAGTGCTGACCCAAGATCCTTGAAACAAACGTAATGATATAAAGTCGACAGCTCCATCCAACACCATTAGAAGAGACTTCTAGAGGCTTTGGACCATTGATTGTCATACTTCCCTTTGCATTCTTTTGGTTTTTGTCCTTTTAGTGGTATTTCCTCACTTTAATGCTAAAATGTTTCATATTTCTTATTTACCCTTTGTTCAATTACGAATAAAATAATTTGCTAAGGAATTGGCTTTATTTGGTGCAGTAACCACCTTAACGCTGTAATTCAGCTCTGTAAGCACATTGCTAGTGCAACAAAGTAAAGAGTTGTTGGATATGTTATTTAACGTCAACTCCTAGAAAAGCCAAATAATAACCATACCCCAATTAGTGTGGCTAAAGCGAATTTCCATCAACAAACTTGGTCTGAAAATGTTAGAAAAACTTAGAATAGATTTGGTATAACTAGACTTATATAAAGAACATGTCTCAATCTGATTGTATGAGTTGGTCCAATACTCCACTGAGCCTCTCCATTATCAATTGCCATAATGTTTCCTTTGTAGAACTATAAATAAAATCTCCAATGAAATTCAAACACTTGAAATTATGAGTTATTCCTACAAAATGATTTAAAAGTTCAAAACCTCGGGTATAGAAAAAACTGAGGGTGGTGGCAGAGATGGAGATCATGCATGTGCTCAGTGGCATGTGCTTTCTCTGACCGATATTCAGACTTCTCAGCAGGTTATGTATTCTGTGGTTACATTCATATGACATTCTTAAAAAGGCAAAAATACAAAAGACAAATCAAGGTTTGCAATGAGTTACAGAAGGGAGAGTGCGTAATCACAAAAGGATACCACAAGGGAATTTTGGGGAGCACGGAAATTGTTCTGTGTCATGATTGTCTGATGGTTACATGATCTATTCAATGTATTAAAATTAAAAATTCACAGACACAACTATATAGAAAAAATAGAAAAAGTCCATTTTTCTATGTGATTTTTTTACAAATAAAAATTTAAAACATGGAAAATCAAACGAGGTAATTGATGTGGTTTCTATTTTCCTAACTGGATTCTGCCCAATACAGGTATTATTTTCTCAAATTGGAGAAGAAAAGCAGGAGCCATGTGAACTGTTCTAGGCAAAACAATGGTAAAAAAAAATCAGGTCTTAATCCAAAGGATCTGTGAAGGTGAGCTTACAGGGAAATAAAAAACCCAAAAGCAAAACCTTTTGAAGATCTGATTAAGGATTCTGAGGTGGGGGGATAATCCTGGGTTACATGGGTCTAAAAGCATCACATGTACACTTTCGAGACACAGATGAGATTTGACAACAAGAGAAGAGAAGTCGATGAGACCATAAGAGATTGAAGAGATGCAGCCACAAGCCAAGAAATGCTGGCAGCCACCAGAGCTGGAAGAGAAAAAGAACAGATTCTCCCCTAGAGCCTCTGGAGCAGGTGCAGCCCTGCTGACACCTTGATGTCAGCCCAGCGAAAATGACTTCAATTTCTGGCCTACAGAACCAGGAGAGAAGACTTCTCTTGCTTTAAGCTGCCAAGCTTGTGGTAAATTGTCCAGAGGCATAGGAAACAAATACACAAACCGTGGTGAATGTTGAAATCTTGAATGTGTCTAGGTTGAGATAAATATGTATTGACTCTGTACACTCTGGCTAGAGAATTTTCTTCTTCCAATGGGTACATTCTCACCTAAGTCTGATAAAGCAGGTAAGCCAATAGTAATTGCACCCTCTCTCTTCTAATTTAGATTTTAGAAGAATAAACCAGTAAAAATGTAAGCCATACTTCCCTCTCACTCCATTATCAATCTCAGAAGAAATGGACCAATCAAGACTCAATTTGCAGGGC